GTTTAACTTATGTTAATAAAGATCTTACTTGAATATGATCTATTTTATAGGCTCGTATCATTGTATCCTTGAGTTTTAAGGAAACTAAAATCTAAGTTAGGTTGATGAGGCATGGCCATGGGACTAAAAACGCCAATGACTTCTGGAGTTGTAGAGCAGTAGAAGATCATTCTGATAGATGCTCAAATCTTTTTAAAAAATACCTATATTAATAGGTTAATCATAGTTTAATCAGTAGCATAATATCTCTTTTCCATTTTCCTCCCCCCGCCCCCACACACACACACCCCACCCAAACCCCAAATGTAATAAAAAATGTAAAAACAAAATCATAGTTTAAGCCTTAGTTGTGGGTTTTGACTTTTGAGGATTTCTTCTCACAATCGTACAGGGCTCAACTGTGATTTTACTAAACTAGATGGACTCATGTGCTATTATTAGAATGTAAATTTTTCTATAAAAAAGGTCCCGCCCCTCTACTCGACCCTCCACTTTCTCGATCCAAAACTTCATTTCTGTGTAACGTTAGGGTTTATCAGATTTCTCCATTAAACCCTTCTCAAGTTCAATTACTCTCTGAAGCAGCTGTAAGTATTCACTTTCATACATTCCCTGTAAATGTATACTTGCACATTGGGCATTTGGGGTTGTACTTTTTCTCGTTTAATGCTGCCTAATACCTAGGGTTTTTATTAATTACCAAGTGGCGTACATGAATCGTTGAGCTGTGTATTGGATTTTCTTGAAGAATTCACTGATTCTTTGATCTGGAGTTCTCATTAACATCTCAAAGTAGTGATTTTTATTTTCTGGGAAAAGCCAGTAGTTTAATATTCATGTCTACTTGTACTTTGGGCAACTGGGGTTGTTCCAACATTCATGTCTACTTGTATTTTGGGCAATTGGGGTTGTTCTTTTGCTCCTTAATGCAGCCTAATTCCTAGGGTTTTATGTATTGCAATGTAGGGTGTAGAGATCCTGAACTGCATATTGAGTTTCTTGAGAATTCAGATTCTTTGATTAAGCGTGCACTTTTGATTGTTGGATTTCTATAACGTCGCCAAGTTGTGAACCTTTTCTGTTAAAGACACGAGTTTGAGCTGAGTGGTGAGGTTTTTGAGTAAAAGAAACCCTAAATGATTCAAGAATTTGAATATGACCGATGGAGGTAATGCGGAGGGTAAAAGGGAGAAAGAGAGTAATGTGGATAATACCGGGGAAGAAAGAGCTGGTTTCGACGATTTTGGAAGAGCAATATCGAGGATTGCTGTGGCTCAAATATGTAAAAGCATTGGGTTTGAGAGCTTCAATGAATCTGCCCTTGAATCACTTGCAGACGTTGCGATTAAGTATATAATTGACCTAGGCAAGACTGCTAGTAGTGGTGCTAATTTAGCTGGGAGAACACAATGCAATGTGTTTGATGTAATTCAAGGATTAGAGGATATGTGTGCCTCCACTGGTTTTCTGCGCGCATCAGAGGCAAACCATTGTGGGTTAAATTCTGGTGTTGTTAGGGAGATGGTTGAGTATGTGGAATCTGCTGAAGAGGTTCCCTTTTCTCAATCTCTTCCTCATTTTCCTGTGGTAAAACATCCGAGGATGATACCCAGTTTTTCACAAATTGGTGAAACACCGACATTTAAGCACGTACCGCTGTGGTTACCTGCATTTCCTGATCCCCATACTTATATACGGACTGCTACGTGGAATGAGAGGGCATCAGATCCTCGAGCTGATAAAATTGAATTAGCAAGGCAGCGAAGGAAGGCGGAAAGATCTTTGTTAAATTTGCAGCAGCGATTGGTGGGCAATGGTTCAGCAGTAGCATCAACTTCTAAACAGGCAGATGATGCCGATATTGCATCAAGTGTTAGTAAAAGCGAAAATCCATTTCTTGCAAAACCTTTTCAACCTGGTGAGAAAGATGTGGACGCAATTGCTCTTCCGGCTAAACTTTCCACTGAGGTAGACGATAAAAATCACATTTCTTTGCTGGAGACGTTCTCTCCTGCAATTGAGGCAATGAAGGATGGGCTTTCCGAAACAGTAGATGGCGTGGAGAAAAATCTTCCAGACAAGAGGCCTGCTGTCTGTTTAGATTTTAGAACTGGAAAGAAAGTCTTTGGTGATTCTTTGGATCTGAGGCTTTTGAAAAAGGGTTCTGAGAGAAAAGCTTCCTTTTTCAGGCGAGATGAAGAAAGAGATGATAAGAAGAGGAGAGCCGAGTTAATACTGAGGCAATCTAGGGAAAATCAGCAGGAGTTAACCCAGTTGTAAATTAGTTCATGGATTGGTTAGCTTGATTGGGGTACTTCCGTTCCCTGTTCAAAACAGCAGCAAGTGATTAGGGTTAGGTAAAAGTCAGCCATACTGTAATTCTTCTGTGAATGTCACAGAGTCTATCTGGATGTTGAGATGTAGTGTAGAGCATTTTTTCAAGGTTAGTCATTGTTCGTTCTCTAATGAATTTATCTCAGTGAGAATCTTTTACTTTTGCAAATGTAAGTTTCTCCTTCTATTTACTCCACCCACCCACTCCCCCTCCCTCTATAAAAAATGAAAGAAAAACACAAACACACATGCACACTCACTCGCGCACAAATAGAGAAAAGGAAAGCAAATGAAAAGGAGGGAAAAGAGTAGGAACGCAAGATTTTTATGAACGGTGGTGTTGATCTTTGTATCTATTTGCTTTTGATGGCTGTGAAATTTTCATTATTCAGATTTTTAATGCAGAAGTTTGAATGTGGGGTTGATGGATGTAGCGTGAAAGTTGATGAGAAAATTATATTTGTTGTTGCTCTCTTAATTAGGAAAATGATTGAACTGGTCCCTTTTACATTCTTTTTCTTCATTTCATACAAATTGGTTTTTATTATTGCAAGTCTGGTAACTCAGGGACTAACGGTAGACTCGAGCTATATTCCAGTGTCTTGCCTGGCCCTGTCTATATAATGTAAGTAGTAAGCTACCCACAAAGCCAAGTTTTAACTATTATATCTGTCTCATCTAATAAACAAGTACCAAACTATAATTCAAGTACTTGCAATACCCTGCCTACAACATTGCTTGTACCATAGCCAAGGAACCAAATTTGAAAAGGTTTGATGATTTGATTGTTTAAACAGAGACGGGAAGTTTTGTGATTCTGTTACATTGATTAAAATTCCCAAAATTAAAGTATAATGATCTACGAGGGAAATTACTTTGTTAGTTGGTCAAGGAAAGGTGGTAGTGTAGTTTGTTGAATTCCATTAAAAGATGTTCTTACATGCGCTTTGCCATTGGCATTTAGTATCATTTAGTTAGTACTCGTGATAGATAGCATACCTGTGGTTTTCCTTAAAAATCTTGTCTGCTCATCATCAATTTCTTGCTGTTTATAGTCCAGACTAACAGTTTTTGATGCTCTCTTAAAACCTTGTGGAGTAGTAACTTTTGTTGCGTTCATAGGTATGCTGAAGGCAGTTTTTCTTTATTGTTTCAGAAAGACAAATAGCTAAACAGTAATTGCTCCAAGTAGGAGAGAGCTACCCTTTTGGCTTTTTTACTGTTTCAGTTAAGCATCTCTCTTTTTGTATAGTTTCTCGGTTGTAACGTTCTCTCCTGTGTGCTCTCAGTTACTTCTGCTGTTTTAGAAGATCAAGTTGTGAGGTAACACATCATAGCTCAGCTATGCAAGTTTTGCAAATGGAGCTAAGTTTAGAGGGGTTTATGTATTATTCCCTTTGTTTATTAAATGTTCTGTAGGATTATATTTTCATGCTAGAAGATTTGTGTAAGGGATTTTTTTCTTTTAACTGTATACTCCCGTAAATTGCATTCCCGGTCTACTTGCATAATCTTGCATCATTATCCAGCTATTGTTATAGAATTTTGAGTAGATGTTCTCAGTTATTCATGAAACTCAAGGCAACTAGAGTCGTTTATTTTATTCATGTGATCCGGGCATGCAAGTTTGTTGGACTGGCCGAACTAAGCTGTATGATAAGAACAAGAAGGGTCAATGTTATCACCAATTGGGTATAAAGCCAATGGATGGGAACTGAATAGATTTCTTTTTACTGTGGCCCCTCTATCCCTTACTGGAATTTATTGTGATTTTACTAAAATAGGGGGTGATATTTCATTCCAACAGCTAGGATGGTTGAGAGAGGGGAAGGTGCAACTTGTGATTTATAGGCATAGTTGAGTTATTAGAGAGTCATATTATGATTTTGATGCAATAAACTGAAAGGTGGATAATAAGAAATATAATCCAAATCCACCCAAGACCTTCTTTGCTCCCCATTTTCCTTCAAAGTGAGTGCTGAAAACAGAAAAGTACCTTTCTTTAAGTTTTGCACTTTGACCCTTTCAGTTGTTCAAGGTTCAGAAGTAGAAAATATAACGCCTTTTTGAAAAGCTATATGGTCTTCAACAGGGGTCAAGTTCATTTACGTGGCCAGATGCAAAGTTTAGTTTGTATACCTATAGTATTGTTACTTTAAATACAATGCTTGTTTTGATTGTTATTTAAATTTTATTGTATCATATCGTTAAATCTATCATTACGTAACGACGAAAAGTGACATTATGAAACAACTGGTATGTTGTGGTCGCGTCGTTATCTTTTTTTTTTTCCTCTCATCTTGCCCTTCCTTATTATTAAATAATCTTATTTTATTCTATACCTTACCTTTTTATATAGTAATTTTACCTCGTACCTTACTTTTTCTTTATAATATTGCAGGTTCATTTTTCATATTGTTGGTGCATAACATCATAAAACGACGGCAAATAATACAATCTATTCAAAACATTGTATATATCAAAACGACAATCAATTGGTAGCTTCGTACGACAAATAGTATGATTGATCTTTGTTTAATCACTTACAAAATTTGCAAAAAATATGCATCATCTTATCGTAGTTGCGTGATTACATATATTAGCTTGACAAGAATATAGACATCTGGAGACCTATGTCGTTTTAGAAAATGAGAGCTAGCAGAAAATAAGGAGATATAGATCATTTTCTTCATTCAACAACAATAATGTCCTTCTTAAAGAGGGTAAAGAACATAACTCCTGAAATTATGAAAAACAGGGTAATTATATAGTTCCAGTGCTGAACTATTCTGAAAACTAACATACAAATAAAATCTAAGCAAACAAAAATGGAAATATGTAACTGAGAAAAACGTCTTTCCCTCTGCCCTCTGACAAGTACATTCAACTAATGCTGCTCAAGTAATGGAATCAGTTCAATATCAAAACTATCTAAAGCAATCCTTGAGATAATAGAGAAAGATGGGGCTGGTTTGGAGGGTGACAATTTGTTGACTTCATGAATGCCGAAACTGTCCATCCCATCACTTCAATTTCAAGTCAGCTTCCAGAGGAAATATCTTTCCGCGGTGATTAAAGATCATGAAATCCAGATTGGCAGGCAAAGCGACCACCCTGCAAAATAGAGATACATGAGATATCTAATAATATAGACATATCTTGAACACCATAAGGGCAAATGAATTGACTTTTGCTACCAATTCTCACTGAGCTATACATGAAGTTAAACACCAGAAAGGTAATGAAATGTTGTCCAAAAAATAAAAAAGAGCTTTAGCAACTAAAGAAACAACAGAGCAGTAGTGCAGTAGCTTTTCCACTTCATTAAATGCCCTGAAAATATGAACTATTTCCTAGAATTTAAAGGAGGATCATGTAATCCAAATCTGGAGAAACCAGGAAAAGTACATAAAAGCTTTCGCTGACTTGTTGTTCAGCGCTCCAGTTGTTTTCTATTATAGATGCCCTACAGCCACAAAGACATCAAACACATGGTAACCATCACCAAGAGAGTTGAGAAACAGTCTTTTCTTAGGTCAGGCTTGACTTCACTTTTCCTCAACTTATCACCTGTCATCAAACCTCCTACCCCGGATTTTTCAGTCAATTTGGAATAAACTCATCTCTAGGCTTCACATATTCGTAACAAAGACCCATCCATCCGCTTATGGATTCCATACCACCCATACGTGCTCTCCTTCTCTCGCCCTCCCTCACATTGCCTTTGCATTGCAAAGGGTCTATGCAAAAAGATAACAGGCTGCTGCATGTATAAGTCCAAAAGAGCCCTCACAATTCCAGTACCCAAATTTTCTAACAAGTCAATATCCAACTATATTTTCTAAATATCAAATATGCTTCCCGTGATCTCTCTCTGCATCATATTTTTCTTTACATTGCTTACCCAAAATCACTGAAAATAAACCTATGCAAATTGGATTTGACTTTAAGAAAAACAACCATCTGCCACCCAGGACTTGGTCTAGTGGTAAGAGTGCATCATATGCACGTCATGGGTTTGAGCCTGGTATTTAGGTGGAGAAGGGTAGAGGGGCAGGCTCATTACCCATCGGGTTTCAATCTGGCGCCACCCTTGGGATTTCTCAATTATAAAAAATAAAAAAAGAGAGAGACAACCATCTGCTCATCTGTACTTGGGTGTTAGGGAGTATAAACAAGGGTTTATACGCCATGCACGGGTGTGGATAAAGAAGTTAGTCCTACCACATCAACATGGTAGTGATAGAAAGGATTCTGGGAATTTTTTGAAAATGAGGATAAAAAAGCTAGACCAAGAGAGAGACATCTTAGACTTGTTCACAGGAAAGACCTAGAACTAGTGAATACCTTTAAAAAGAGGGAAGGTTAATATTGCATGTCTGTATCCACAAGAGACTGAATGGATATGGAAAAAGGTCAAGGGATCAACAACACAAGTCATAATTTGAGGTATCCTGCGGTAGATATAAGTAGGAAGGAGTCATCACAAAATTATGACTTATGGATAAAGTTACAGATATAGAGAGAATTAATGATATTGTCTTATTAAAAGTAGGGATGGAAAATGGGGTAAGGCAGGGCGGGGCAGGGC